CTGAAGTTCTTGCTTCCCTGTCTTCCTCACTGATGCTTGTCAATGAAGGAGAATATGTCTGTCAAAAAACTTTTAATGAGATTATGCAAAAGCTACCATCAACATGGCAATGCTATATGCAAATACAAGAGTGTTACTAGAGAAAAAAAAGTCTTCCGATATTTGATGTTCCCAACTGTATTTACTACATTCAGAAAAACACACTGAGAGAGTTTCTGACATTTCAATATTGCAGTTTACGGGAATGAAAAGAATGACAGAAGTCACTATACAGTGCAAGATTGACTTTTGATTATGATGCGAAATGCCAACTTCAGATTCTATTATGAAAAGTCACAGATGCAGGCATTAAATTTCTCACACCAGAAGGCATTGTCTATTTTATATCCACTAATGTGCCAGATTGGGTAAAATCTGTTTCAGCAATTTAAACTGCGCAAGGTGGAAAATACTGCAGATCTCTTTGTAAAAACATAGTTTCTTCTACTGCAATGAACTATAAAAATTTTGTTTGACAGAAAAATGAGTACTACTTATAAGCATGTTTTAAATTGCTATACTTCAAAGTAACAATGGCACAGAATGTTTTAAAATATTTTCCCCACTAAAATTATGGATTAAATCACAGTGAAGTACCTGTACAGAATTTAAGAATTAATATTTTCTTACAGTATTTGTAATAATATATTAAGTATATACATACTTGCATTCCACCGTGCTTCTGATTGCTAATGCCCTTTCTAAAGAGATGCCTCAACTGTCAGAACCATATGCTTGCTATTCAAGAAATAATTTTTTGTGTCAACATGAGTGAGAAATCTGTGCTCCTGTTATTAGTACTTTCCAGTCTACTACACAGACATAATTCACACACACCTCCCCCAAGGCATCTTTCACTTGATTTTACTCAGAACGCCCTGTGTTTCTTTCCACAATACTTTAAAAGATTTATTAAGTGGCATACCTTTATATCAGGCACAGAATTCTGTACTTTATGCACTGGAAAAAACCCTCATTAGTGCTGAAAGAAACTTTATTATCTATACTGCATTCATAGTTAAGCTCAGCCCCGCGCTTGGGGTTTAGTTGCTCTTCGGAGTCCTGCATAAGTGCTTAGCTAACCCCAAAATCCATACTCTATCTATATGTATGAGGTGTCACTTTATCTTGTCCAGCATACTGGCCACTGCCCAACTAGAGATAACAGCATTCTATATCCAACTGTTTATGAAGTAAACACCTGTGAGACCACACAAGTTCACAAAAATTCCTATGTCCCTACAACACAGCCTAGGAACTCCCACTCTCGGTGGACAAAGCAAGCAGGTAACATAAGTATGTCAAGATCTGTTAAGTTTAGGAGGAGCTGGACATGATGTTTAACTGATAAAGATATGGTTATGTTTTATTTTAAATACAGGCACAATGTTTAAACCATGAACCATGATTTATAACTGTTGCTCTTTCAAGAACTGAAATTAAGTTGTTATTATAAAATACATGGTTAATGCTCCTCCTCTGAATTTTTAGTGTTATGGATTTCTTTTTTATAATTTCTAAGAAGCTCAACACTCAAGAGGAGTTCCAAGTTAAAAAATACATATCTTTTCCAAAGAAATTCCAAATTATACTTTGTACAACATGACATTGTCTAGAAATCCCAAACTTGTTATCTGACTTTACTAAGGTACCTCTTGGTTTTCTTTTGAAGTTTTGTTTGACTGAACCTGCAGAAAGGGATGGGAATTTGTCAGGTATTTAATAAAATCACAGATTATATGATGGTAAGAGCAAAGACCACAAAAAGCAGCAACTGGAATAACAGGTAAAGTGAACAAGGTAGAAATATGAAAAGAAGGCTTTGCATAGTTTCAACAGTAGGGGAACGAGAGGAAAACACTGCAGACTGGGGGAAGGAAAGTGAATATCACTTCCATCAAAGAACCCAGTTTGTCACAGTCTTGTGGGTTTTTTTTATTGGTTTTCCTTTCATACAGTCTGCTTCAAGTAAGAGGGAATGCTTTTCCAATAATCCCTTCATAGTTAATCAGTTTAACCTTTGCTTATACTTTCCAGAATAAAACTGTTTCCTAATTTATTTTTAGTTTTCATAAACCTCTAGGTTGATCTTCCATCTTTAAAAAGATCAAATACCTAACATGACATTATTGAAGATTTTAGTACATGCATGGGCAGTTCATCTAATCTCATCGACTTTTTCATATTAAAATCCAGTTTTACGCTTTATCTGCTATCCATTTAAACAAAATCATCTGTTATTCAGATGCTGATTCTTTATTCTTATATGAAAATTAAAGCAAACCAAGACTTTCTTTTTATTTACGTGGAACTGAGAAAATGCACCCAAAAGAATTTGAATGTGTTAAGTCTTGTATTTGGAATTTTATGTATAGTTCAAACTACGAGGCTGTCTTCTGCCTAAAAAGCAAGCATACATCTCATATAATCAAACTGATCTGTTTATCTCATATTTGCTTATTTAAAATTCATACACAGATAATATTTGCTGGTAGATTTCCTTCTATTTTATGTATAACCAACTAATGCCAATGTCCTCACATCTGTTGCTAATTTATTCCAAAAGAAGCCTCCTACAGGAAAAATAAACCTAACTGTCCATCCCTAAAAGCATGAGTTTATTAAATATAAAACAATAAATAGGAAGTGAAAATCTCTTCCACACAAAGCATGTTAACTTCCTACACAGAAAAAATGACCACATATTTCAGAGCAGATGAACATTACAATTAAACAAAAATCGAAAAGTACTATGGGGAACAGTTGAAGTAAGTTGCACAAATCACGTTATTCTGCCAAAAATCTGCTCTGTTACAGAAAGCAAAGAAGGGCTGAAAGGGAAGTTTTGGTCATTAAAAATGAACAGCAATTTGTGCTTCTGATAAGAAGTCAGCACTGTTTATAGGAAACATGATAAGCTTTTATCTTACAGAATGAAACAAATTTACTGCAATAAAACCTTTCTCATATACATATTCTAAGCATCAGGATTATTAGTGACTTTGCTCTCATTAATATGCTTTCTCTCTTTTGGATGCTATAGCTTAACTAAACTTTACTAGCTGTTTTGGTTTAATTCCTCAGTCAACTTAGAGAACATCAGAGGCTTTGAATCAAACTATAAAAATCTCAAAGCTGCAAGGTAAAGTGTTAGTCACAGAAGAAAAATAATAAAAGATCATCACATGTGACTGGTAAATCATAAGGCTTTGTAAAGAATTTAACAAGAGATGCAGGAAGAAAAAGATTAAACTTTAAAATGTCACATCCAGGAAAGAATTATCAAGTGGTAGAAAAACATTTCTGGAGTTTAGATAAGATAACAAACTGCTATCTGCATAAATAAAATTAAACACTATGTTGCTCTATCATAGGTCCTCGTGAACACACTGACCATACCAGTGACACTTACTGGGTAAGGTTGGGGGGGGTGTATGTGTGCGCATGTGTGTGTGGAAGTCAGCTTGAGGAAGTTATCTAACTCTGTATCAGAGACCAGGAACAAACAGCACTGACAGCAAACAGCAAAATTAATAGTAATGGTAAAAATTCTGTATGTAATATCCATAGTAGTGCTCAGATACCAGTAGCCATTTGTACATTGTTTAAAGATGCAACACACCTTTTTTTTTAATATATATATATGTGTCTGTGTGTATGTACACTACCATCTTTAATGTACCATATAAGTTATCTCTTTAGTCTCTATACTGTCTTAAAACACAATACCATCCTCAACCCTATATAGACAGATCAGTTCCATTTTGCCAATAGACATTCATGCCTATGAAGTATTCACCAGCAAAGAGGAAAGTGAAGCATGGAGACATTTAATCAACACAAAGAAAATTTAGTTAATATGCAGAAAAAAAAAAACTATGGAAAGGTACTTGAGAAGTTTGAGAAACAGCAAAAAAAAAAACTGTATGACAAAGACAATCACATAAATCTGTGAATAAGTTGGAGATGAAACAACAGCAAAGTTGACTGATCAACTATTCTCCAAGTCCTTCCGGAAACAAGTTTTCTGCTCTCACTAGACCGAAGTTTAAGATAGAAGAAGATAAACTGAAAGAAAATGATGGCCTAATTTAAAACAGTATCTAACAGCTAACCACTGCACTGAAGAGAGACACTGACTAATAACACTGAAAAAAGAAGACAAAAATTTGCAAGAGAAAAGCTGGATAGAGCTAGTGGAAACATGTATCCAACTTCT